AAATACTGTATATTTGCTGAATAGGCCACATAAGTGTCAACTGCCCTCACTCTCTGTCACCAGAGACACGCAACCAGTGTGTCAATTGACCCCGGCCTGCTAAAATGAAATGTCTCTTTGTTAGTATGTGTGCAATTGCGTTTGCTGTCGGTGTGTGTGTGTGAATGTGTGTGTGCAACACGGACAGCTGAAGAGACAAGAAGCCATTGGTTGACCCATGTTAGTCCGAATCAAGTCTCAAGTCAAAATAGGCAAAGTCCGAGTCGAGTCCAAGTCAAGACTGGAAAGTGTCAAGTCAAGTCCCAAGTCCTGCCTTTTCTGTTTCGAGTCCTTTCGAGTCCTTCCACTCACTGCCACTCGTTTTTTTTTGTTGACCATATCGTAGTTTTTAAAATCCGAAAACAACATGATCTTTGGTATCATTTTCTCTAACCCGCCCATTGGTTGTCCCGCAATTTGATTGGCTCGATATTAACGCGTCAAAACAACGTGGGTCTAATTTGTTTCGGAGTTTCGGGTTTCGGAGAAAGTCTCAAGTCTTGTCGAGTCCTCTTGTCGAGTCAAAGGGCTCGAGTCCAAGTGAAGTCACGAGTCACTGATGTTAAAGTCCAAGTCGAGTTCCAAGTCTCTTTACATTTTGTCAAGTCGAATTGATGACTAGAGTCAATTGACCCCGGCCTGCTGAAATGAAATGTCTCTTTGTTAGTCTGTGTGCATTTGCGTTTGTTGTCGGTGTGTGTGTGAATGTGTGTGTGTGCAACACGGACAGCTGAAGAGACAAGAAGCTATTGGTTGACCCATGTTATTCTTGTGCTTCTTCTGGTCCCCAACCCCCGGTCGTGTGGACCAGTGTCGCTCCGTAAGTCATTTGGTACTGGGCTGCAGTGGGACAGTGAAAATATGTCCTTGAATTTGACTAATTTACTACATTAAAAAAAAAAAGAATCCAGTCATATTTTACTTTCACTTTCATATTTTTTTTTTTTTATCCTTTGCTCCCTATGCCGTTCCCTTTACTAGGAACAGAGGCACAAATCAATGTAAATAGTTCAAATATATCAGCGTAATTTTGAGGTTTTTGTCATTGTTGTTCTCGGTGTTCAAATATTTTGTAATCAAAATACGCAAATTACGCTGTATCCTCTATCGCTGTTTAACACCGATTGCGCTGCTACGACTAAATGCAGTGCAGTGAATCGACGCTAATGTGATTATTAAATGCGTTCGAATACATATTTTGAATAGAATAGAATAGTCTTTGTTGTCCTTATGTCGGGTTAAAACACAATGAAATAGAATGCATCATGAGCGATTTACAGAGTTTAGAATCTCGTGCTCAGAATGACTGATTGTGGCTGTTGGAGTAGTTTTGGAATTCTGGCGGTTCTCCATGTCAATGATCCTTCGTATGATGGCGCGGTACTACCAGTCTGCAGTAACAGCTGATATCGGCCCGACCGATCCTTGGTACAAAAAATGTCGAGGACCGGTGCTTTGTTGGTTTGTTGAAATACATTGAGAATATTGGACTACTTGCCTGACTTTGGGTACCATTTTGCTGAATCCCTGATGATCTGGTGGGGTATCTGACAATACCCTACAAAATTTGAACCCCACCATTTGGACAGAAAAATACTGTGTAATTATATTCTCATCGACAATTTTCAGATTGTGAGTGGATCTTATTATCTAATCCCACCCACGCTTAAGTCCTGATTGTTTGACCAAAAACACCATCTATGAATCTTCTAATTTTTCTATTCAAAGATTCACACTTTTCTCATCTTAAACAATTGTAAAAGATCCTGACAAATCATCTCATTTGAGAAAAAAAAAACCTGAAAAATTTGCTGTTTTCTGATGGTACGGTCTCATCGGCCATACTTGGAAAAAAGGGAGGGTCTGAAACATATGGACAAAGAAGCAGTGTTGTTTTTTTTTTCCTGTTCTCTAATGTGACAAAACCAGACCTCCAGGTCTAGAAACTGCATCTGCAATGCCACTTTCCATTTTGTCTCCATTAAAGCCCTCGGGGACAATGTTCTGACTTTAGAGCGTTTCAAAAAAGTCATTGAAAGGTGCAGGAAAGACACAGTGAAAAGTACAGAGTGCTAGACGTCTTTGTACAATCTTTGAACAATTCTGATATCACGGTCAGTTTCAGCATACTCTAGGCACAGCGTGTTGGCGAATCCACCTGTTGTCATCGTATTATCATGTGTACAATCTGCGTCACTGTCACATCGATGCGGCTCAGTTTAGCCGATGGCCTGCGACTGTTCAGGCAAAGCACATTGCTCATATTCACCATTGTACCAGCATTTGAAGACAGAAGAAGAAAGCCTCACGGCCAGACTGTAACTGATGACTGCACACTTTGCTTTAGGAGACTCATTACAGATCATCCAAAAAAAAAAAAAAATCACACATAAATACAAAACATTATCGAGACTATTTCTGTCGCTCGAAGTTGTCTTCGGCTTCATTCTGTAGACCAAAAACCCCCTTGGGGCTTGCGTCACAAGTGGATCTTTGGTCTTATTTATCCTATATTTGCATCTTTAGTCAATAATTTATTGCTAAACAGGGTGTAATTGACTTAATTGCATCGTCTGCAGCTGTCACTAGCAGACTCTGAAATCAATTTTATCATTAACTGGAGCCAAATGCCGTTCGGTTTTCCTTCATTTCGGCTGTAATTTGCAAGTTGTCTCTCATGGCCAATGGTAATCACTGCGATTGATCGGTTCCTCTGGCCAAGTTAATCCAGATTGATGCATCTGGGCTGTTTATTGTAAAAAATGGGAATGGTACATGATCTCTGTCTGTTAATTAAGGGGTTAAGTGGGCCATTATGTCCAGGGGTTGGAGCCTGAGAGGCAAAACAAATGATCTATGTTTTACATTAAATAACGTAAAGAGTTGCATTTGGAAACGGGGATATTGGAAAAAATAAAAATGGCTGTCAAAAATATTGCATCTTGTGAAGTTGATCAGATTAAATATGTAATGCAATTGAACACACCAGTGAAGTGACTCGGACTGTGTTTTGTTGCTTGAACACATTAACGATACTCGCATTTCTATTTGCACTCACGGCAGTACTTTAAACTTTAACGCGTCAAACTTAAAATACCGTCTTTACGGTATTTTTTTGGTTTTTGGAATCTTCAGGACTGAAGTAGCCTTTTGGATGACCCTATTATCCAGACCCTATTTCTGGATAAGATAACCTGGATCACTAAGAATCTACACAGACATCTTTACGTCCAGAATGCATTTGTGGAGGACTCAACATTAGGTTAGGCCAGGCATGGGCAAACTAAGGCCCGGGGGCCCGGATGTGGCCCGTTCAGCTTTTTAATCCGGCCCGCCAAACGTTTCCAAATTATATAATTTATAATATCATAACACTTCTGCCTTTTGCCTGCAATACCCATGTTTCCCCAAAAGATGGCGTAGAAAATGATAAAAGCATTTTAGCCAATTATCCTTATTATGCATGAGTTTTACAGGTAATCTATCTATCTGTCTGCTCCTGACCCGGCCCCATTTAGGAATGCTGATTTATCTCAAACAATCTAGATTCGTCTGGATTGCGTACGATCCAAACCCGTGCTGAGATTTACTGTTCAAAACGACACTCTCTCTGGACTTTGTTTTTCCGACTTTTTACATGGAGACATTTGCTGTTATGTCGGGAGTCAGCAAAACTTTGTAACTGTGTATTTTAGGAAATTGTTATTACAATAAAAAGGTACTGTGGACTTGTCATTTCCAAAAGTAGTTTGCTTGGTCTGAATGAAATCTATCAATAACAATCACGATGAATCTGGATTGTGTATTGCAATACATCAGATGAAATATTTGTAAGAATTTAAGTAATTCAAGTAATAGTCAACCTTGAATTTCCTTCAAAATGTAATCACGCAGTGTTTAAGTTAAATCACAGCACGGCTCCTGTCATGTTGTTGTGATGACATCTCCAGATAGAGACATCCAACCATGTTGGGTCCTGCCAGATAAATTGGATTTCTTTGCAAAAGTAAAATAATATATATATAATATAGAGTTTAATTATTGGATGTACATAAATATTAGATTTTTTTTAAAACAGGTATTAAGGAGCTGTCATGTGTTTATTTTTTTTATTTTTTATTTTTTTTTGTAGACTCTTTGTCTTCATTCCTTAACCCCGAGCCTAAAGTCTACAGGTCAACATGTCAGCTGTGTTGTTTCTAATGTCGGATCTTCACAAGAATAGACAGTCAGGCCAGCTGGTTTCTCGTCTCTACTGTGTTTAATGCCCTACAAGGAGAGGATATTTTGGAAGATGGTGGGTAGAATTACAGTCAGACTAATCTTCAGGTTACATTTGTCAAAGCTTTACGATGAAGAGCAGGGATGGGATGGTGTAAACAAAGATTTTTTGTTTGTTTTTTGTAGTAGTAGTTTAACAGCTGCATTGAGAATACACCTCCAGGGAATTCAGCACCACTGTGTGTTTTCTATTTGTGTGTGTGTGTGTTGTCATGTGTCTGGGATATCATTAAGGAATACCTGACAGCTCCTGTGTTTCTCAGCTTTGGCTCCAGCAGCTCCTGTCAGCTGCATTATCTCTATGGATGTTGCCACAGACAGGTGTCTGTGCATTTTTTGTGTGTGCAGTCCTGTGTAGAGTCTACATCATCCACCAGTTTTTTTAATTTTTTTTAATGATCCTATTTCACTGTGGAATTTGAAGCTAATTGCAGTCGATTGCCTTGTTAGTAGGTGACAATTATAAAAACTAAGCCTGCTCATGATTTACCAGCAGCACTGCAGATTTTTGTATAAACTTGAGACCCAAGTTCCAGGTAATGGATTTATGATGATGGACTATCATTGCATATATATATATATATGTATATATATATGCATATATATATGTATCTCTCAGGATTTCTGCTGTTGGCTCCACAGTGACAGCATCTTGTGGGAGTCGGTGTTACAGGAAATATTGACTGTGTATTCTCTCAATGTTTGGATAAATGTCCTTGTCAATAATTAACTGTACCGGCATTATTTTTTGTACTGACAAAAGGAAAGGATAAATTATTTGCGACATTTCCTTCTCGTCTGGCTTCCAGGACACCTGTACGGTAAGGACACATCTTTAAGTAATAGAAATAGATTTTGTGATTGGTTTTTAAGGTTGTTGTCACATTTGTCTTTGTTTGTTTCAGCCCAACGGACCCACTGCTCTGCACCGAGGCTAGATGCTGTTTTGTTTTTTTTGTTTTTTTCCCCTGATAAGACCACATACACCGACGGAAGCAGTCTTTCCTGTGCTTGTCATACGTCATATAAACCAGTTGCACAGGCTTGGTGGGCAACAATCAGATGTCTAACGGTGGCATGAACCCAACTGTATAGGTAAGCTTTCAATTTTAGTTTCTCAAGTGAATTACTGTATAATCATTATGACATAAAAATAAAAAAGTAATTGTTTGGGGGGGTTTTTTTCTTCTTCTTTTTTTTCCTCAGCCACAGTAAAATTTGGAGTAAAAGTCTGATCTAATTTCAGAGCCTTGGTTTCAGAAAATGTTGTTTTTGACTAGAATGTAACTTTGTTTCCAGCTCTAGTTTCTACACATTGTCAAATTAGACCTGGTCAATACGATAATGGGCTTGAACTAACGCAAGTATTTTCACTAAAAGACAGGTTCCAAGATCATCTCCGATGTGGTACGGACAGTTACGGGATTGTTCGGGGAAAATGATTTACACCTCTTGTAAGTATCCACCAAATGGCTTTGTTCTCACTTGACATATATTTTCCACAGCATTAGAGTTTGCCTTTTGCAATGGAGTCCGTTTGGAAATTCATTTCATTTCAGTTAGTTTCTAATGGATGAGTGTAGATCCATGAGACTGTTCACTGATGCTGCTGCTGCTGTTGTTGTTTTAGGTTGTGACGACTGGTACTTTCAACAGGTACGTTTAGCTTTTCTCTTGGTAAATCATGAGTCCTGTTCATGCCTAAATACTTTTGTTTCCTTTATTTGTTATATGGTTTCACTGCATTTGTTTATTTCATGACAGAATCGTTGTCCAGCACCATTTACAGCTTAATAAGACTGACTGGCCAACAACAAAAGTCAAGATGGACAAGAGGAATCCTATCACCTGAACAGAGCTTTACTGATCTCGGATTTTATTTATTTCAGGATTAATTTTTAAAAAAAGTTTATATATTTTTTCAATTGAAAAAAAAAATTATGTATAAAGTTGTCTGAGTACATGTTTAATATACAGTAATCAACACAGGTTTGGGTACATCAGTACAGTATGCTGTGTATTTTTACCCATTCACAGACACTGCTGTCCTAAATATTCCCTCCATAAATGAATCTATGGATTTCTTTGTTGATTTCGTTAGCATGTCTTAAAGTCACGTCTGGAAACACACTAGTCACATGACATACAGTATCTTATCGATCCAGCTAACTGAGTTAGGAAGCTAATTCAGTTAGCCAGTTTAGATGGATGGATACAGTGCTAGTTGGCAAACCATCCATCTTGTTTGCTAACCGAAGAAGCTCATTTATAAAGATAGTTATCTGGTTTGTCCTCTAGCTCACTAACATGCCAAACTCAATAGATCCAAATCCTCTTGAATTAGGTCTTTTTAGATAATTATCCTTTTTTGTAGTTTTTGAGTTAAGGTGCTTATTCTCAGATATCATTTTCTGACAATGTAAAGTTTGCCACCTCAAAAAAAAAAAAGCATCCTGACTGAAGCCCCAAAAAAAAAAAGTTTGAATTGCAATATTAAAAATTTTGCATACAGTACATCAATTTGTCTTAAAAGAGCAGCAGTGCTCTCTACTGGCAGTGGAAAGCGAGGAGAGTAATCATAGCTAGTAGGTATCCTAGTGTCGGCTAATATACAAAGGTAAAGTATTAGTAAAACGATAATGAGTCTGGGGTCTGTACACATTGACAATATAGCAAAAGCAAAGCAAAATAATCATATAATGCAGAAAGTGTTGGCTTTGATAGGTGCTGGTTGGCAACGCATTTTTTAAACGGCTCTAAGAGATATAGTTTTGACAGAGAGTTTCAATTTCACTGACTAAATTCTGGAGTCAGCATCCATTTATCTTGTGTTGTGGTAAAACACAGACTCTTTTCCCCCTTTGGGGGGAAAAAAGACATTCCATTCCATTAATACTGAGCACAATTTGAAATCCTTGTCAGACCTGCAGCTTTGTTTGTACATGTACAGTAAAAAACAGGTTTATATAGACATTCAGTTTATGGAGTGACAAATTGAGTGAAATTTGTGATGCACGGTCCAGGTCAGGGAGTCGGTAAAAAATGTCTTCTAAACAACCGGAGTAAGAATTCCACAGCTGATCTTGAAAGAGAAAGAGAAAAGTGCCATTACTGTATGTTTTGTTTTTTTTTTGCTGTAGGCAAGCAAGTTGAAAATTCAGCGTGACACATTAAATTAGCTTTAAACTTAAAGTGGTCACTTTGATCATGCATCATTTTATTTCTTCTCACCGGCTCCCCCTATAGGTGTAAAGATGTTATGCATTAATCCAATTTATGCCCTAATCTTTAATTGTTAAAAAACTGATTCTGACATGTGCATGAAACAAACTATTATTTCTGTGCAACTCCATTTTGTTTGCTTGTCATTTTCTATTTTTTTTGCTTTTTGCCTCTTTAGTGAAGCCTCACTGTAGCATGCGTTCCTGTGCTCCAGTTGCCTCCTCGTGCCCCAGCTGGCGGGCTTTTTCCTATTGATTCTCTGTATCGATTGACTCGCACAGAGATAAAGCCGCTGATGGGCTCCGAGTGTCACATTTAGGACGGTCGAGGTGTTTTGCAGGGCTCGCCGTGTCGAAATTAAATGACTCGCAAACACAGAGGCACATAAAACAGACTCGCGCTCGTATGCAAATATTGCACCTCGCAGACTGTAATAAAAGATTTCATTTATTCTTCCCGCTGCTATTTCCTCTCGGTATTTTGACGTTAACCGCTTTGACACCCGGCAGGAGCGCCGACGCCGGCTGTCTGCGGGAAAACATGGCAATAATTATTCTAATCACATGAGAACATAATCTATTGACTGTTTGTGCGACTGTCTATCTTCATGTGCCCCAGTTGGCTTGCTATTATGATAGGGACCCTATCATCCTCCCCATCACTGCCACATTTGTGTGTCATTCTTTTCACGTTATTCTTCTTTTCTTTTGTCTTTCCTCACATCTCTGTCCTGACTTGCACCCTTACCTCACCCTTCAGACACAGACGGAGGAGGAGGAGGAGGAGGAGGCAGGTGTGATGAAGAGAGAGAAAGAGGTTGCTGAGATAGATGTCTTGATAGATGAAGGGCAGATGCTTCAAGCACAGAGTTGTCAAGGTTGCCTGGTAACTTACGGTTTCACAGGTTGCCTCACATGTATGACATTACGTGTCCTGGATGTCGGTGTCATTCGATGCGTGTGAAATTATTTTTTCTGTTATAGAGTCTAGGGTGATTTTCCCATTCCCCCCCCCCCATCCATCTCATGATCATGTGACTGATGCAGTGATGCTTTCCAAGAACATGCGCTGCGTTGGGAACAACCAATCACCAACAACGTTTATTAAAACACAGGTCATACATGATTGCTCGCAATTACTTCCTTTAAAAGGCTATATGCCAAAGGTCACATGACCAAATCCGAAAAACATTTCCACTTTTGATGAATCACTGAACTCGGTACGCGGTATAAACCGGTGAAACCCACATGGGATACTCTAATATTTCTGCTGTTACGTAGTGTACATATATATATAAATATATATTTTTGGATGCCTCCAGGAGTCACCCAAAATCAGTATTCCCTTTCCACCAAAATGGACAAGAGGCTCAAAACTACGTATGTAGTATATGCTATATTATATGCTTATGGGCGAATTCAATTCCTGATTGTGTTTTCCTTGAAGTTTTTTTGGATGTAAAAGTTCTATAAATCTATATGCTTGTTGAAGTTGGAGCAACATTATTAATCAGAAATGCCTTTTAAAGCAGGCGTGGGCAAACTTTTTGATTCGCGGGCCACAGGTGGTCCTAAAATTGAACGAGGGGGTGGGGGGGGGTCAGGAGCAGACAGACAGATAGATAGATAGATTACCTGTAAAACTCATGCATAACAAGGATAATTGGCTAAAATGCTTTTATCATTTTCTACGCCATCTATTG